TAGCTATTATGAATTGTGCTGCTATAAATGTGAGTGTGCATGTACCATTGCAATAGGATGTCTTTAATTCTTATGGGAAGAGACTTAGAAGGGGAACAGCTGGTTCAAATGAAATTACTATTTTTAATTTTTTGAGGAAGCTTGATACTGATTTCCTTAGTGGTTGTACCAGTTTATGGTCCCACCAACAATGAAGAAGGGATAATTTTCCCTCTCCAGTATTTATTATTATTCAGTTTCTTGAAGATAGCATTTCTTTCTAGAGCAAGATGGAGTCTCAGTGTTGTTTTAATTTGCATTGCTCAACTGGTCAGGGATCTTGAACATTTTTTCATGTATTTATTGGCCATTTGTACTGTTTTATGTGAGAGGTGTCTCTTCATGTCAGATGCCCACTTTTTGATGGAGTTGTTAAATTTGGGGGGTCTAACATTTTTAATTTTTTATATATTATAGATATTAGTCCTTTTGACCTATAAAATTGAAGATTAAGATTACACTGTGTATTTATCTTGGATTTTTTGCCTGTTTGTTTGTGAAGAGTTTCTACTTATTGCACTGTCTCCTTAACTATAATAAAGAGTAAGTAATTTTGGACTTTGGGGAGGTGAGAACCAGCATCATACCATACCAAATCCCCTTTTTGAGCAGATCAAGAAGTGAAGTGAAAAGTTCAGTGTATTGGAGGACAATGAAGAAAGGAGGGGTGAGAAGCATTTATAAGGTTGGGAATGAATCTAGAGCTGTCTGATGTTCACCCTTCGCCCTCCAGGGCAGGATTCTGAGACTCTGCACTGTGAACACCAGGGCCGGGTTCCGTCCTGTGCTCTGTGCAGCTTCTCCCAGCATCCTGGCCCTGCCTCCTTCTGCCGGCACCAGTCCCAGAGGTGACAGCCAGTCCTCCACATCACCAGATGTCAGGGGTGGAGGTGGGGCCATCTGCAGAATTGCCCTGGTTGAAAATCAGTTCTCTAATGCTCCTGAAGGACATGATGGGGCAGAAATCCCTACCAAAAGTTTTTCATGGTCTTTGTTGTTTTCTTTTGAGCACATTATTCTCAGACGCTAAAAGACTGTTTATGGTGAATCAGTTGGCTCTGATGTGATGTAAAAGAACCTGGGCTCTTGTATCATAAAGAAACTAAAGAGATCAAATGACAGTCTGTCCTTAACTACAGTTTTCCAGGTTACCTGGTAAAGTACGCCCTTTAAAGTATTGCAGTCACACCTCCCCTGTTGACCTCCACCCTTCTCATGAGGCCTTCAAGTCTTGTTCTTACTTTTATTTATTATTATTATTTTTTTGGTACCAGGGATGGAACTCCGGACCTTGAGCTTTCAAGGCAGGTGGTGAAACCACTGAGCTAAATCCCTGGCCCAGTCTTGCTCTTACTGATACGAAACATAATCAAAGAGAATATGAGCCCATGAGGCCTGTAATCCCAGCATTGAGAGAGGCTGAGGCAGAAGGGTCTCAAATTTGAGATCAGCAATGACTGCACGGTAGTTCAAGGGAGCCCTGTATTACACAGAAAAACCCTGTCTCAAAAATCAAAGCCAAAATCCACAAACTAACAAAAAATGCACCAAAATCAAAACCCCAAACAATAAAAACAGCAGCTAGGCATAGTGGCACATGCCCGTAATCCCAGCACTCAGAAGGCTGAGGCAGAAGGATAGGCCAAAGTTCAAGGCCAGTTTGGGCTTCATAGTGAGTTCAAGGCCAGCCTGGACTACATAGGGAGAGCCTATGTAGTCAAAAATCACCAGCAGCAACAACAACAAGGATGGCGATGAAGATAGTTTGGGCACTGTAGTAAGACCCTGTCTCAAATTGAAAAGTGGTGAGATGTAGCTCAGTAGTCCAGTGCTTACCTACCGTGCACGGTGCCCTGGGCAGCACACACACACACACACACACACACACACACACTGTGATGTTAACAAAGGTGTTACTGTAAACACTGGTACCCAAAACCCAGTCAGGAAAGACAGCTGTAGGGTTTTACTGTTCAGATTATTGCTGTTTTTAAAATTTGACAGTTTCAAGAAAATTTGTAATTCTTGCAGTTAGGGACTAGGACCTCGGATTTACAATTTTATGTGTTCAGACAGAAGCACTCCTGAATCTTTTAAAAGAAACAAATAGAAAAATTCAATGCTATGTGTATTAAGAAATAACACATTTACAATACATTCAAATATCTATTTAGAAATGTTAAGAAATGGGTCAAGTTAAGGTTTTGGTGGGATCCTATTTTATATAAAAACTTTCATTATAGTACAGATTTTCTTTTAACATTTTTTACAAATGTTGGAAGTATACGCTTTTCGTTTTTCACCTCATACATTTGAAAATATGTATATTATTAAAATGAAATTTGAACTATTAATAAATTACCTCTTAAAAATTCTAGGGTTCTGAGAAAGAGGGTTTGGAAACCATGACCTTTTTTCTTTCTCTCTTTTCTCTTTTTTTTCTTTTATTTTTCTCTGTTTTGCTTAGTTTTGTTTTGATTTTCTTGAGCTAGGGTCTTCCTATGTAGAATGGGCAGGCCTTGAACTTGATGTGTAGCCCAGGTCCTCCTGGTTTCTTTTTTTGTTTTTTTAATCATTTCATCAAATGACATATTCTATTAGGGACTTAGGCATCCACAGATTTGGTACTGGTGGGGAGTCCTGAACCCATAACCCACAGGCACTGAGGGGTGACCATGTACTTACACACACAAATCTATATCAAGCTCGACTAAAGAGTGCTCCAGCACTTCCGATTTCAGCTGATACTCTCAGGATTATTTCTAGCTTTCACCTTTTCAATTTCTGTGACAGTGAGAAACCTGGCTTTCATTAGTGAAAATTTAGATATATGTCCTTAAAAGGATTATAAAGAATCTTCCTATCATGTTTTATCCCTCCTTTACCATCTCCAAGGGAAAGGAAGGAAAAGAGAAAGGAAAGAGAAGAGAGAGCGCTGAATTTTTCAATCTAAAAGCAAATGTCCCCCAGAGCAGCCCCTGTAGTGTATCTCTAGAGGTATTTTCTAATCACTGTTACCACTTTTTCAATTTTCCTGTAGACTTAGATTTGGTAGTGGAAAATAAGAGTATTTTCTGGAGCTGAATAGAGAATGACATTCAACAGTTTCCCCTCTGTCTAGCTGATACTTCTTTTTTCTTTTTTTAAATTTTTGAGACAGGTCTGGCTGTGTAGTTCAGGCTGGCTTTGAACTCAGGCGCCCCCTCTGCCTGCTGGGATTACAGGCATGTGGCACCACGCCTAGCTAACTGATAGCTCTTGTTTAGGAGTTCCAGGCCATCCTTCCTCCTCTGTCCTGCCACTGCCATTGTTGTGTTCCCCTCTTGAACGGCTTTCGCTGGCTCCTGAGAGCCTTGGGCTTGTTTCCTTGGACATCTTTCCCACACCATCGCGGAGTAATTCCAGTGAAACACCGAGCCACACAGCTTTCTAGGGCAGACCACTCCTCAAAGGCCCCCGGCTGCTCCAGTGCTCGAGTGGCTTCTAAGGACTCACGAAGCTGACAGACTCTTGTTTTCTCTCCAGGTCCTCCCCGGTCATTTTCCTCGGTGACCTTCCTACGGCAGCTACCATGGAGCCGTGCATGTCTAAATTCTCGGGAAGCAGCAATGAAAAGAACGGTGATCTGTACTATGCTTCCTGGATTCCAGTCCTCTTTCATGGTTTGTGACTTAAGTTGCTGCTGCTATGAACAAACCTCCCAAAACTTAGTGACGAAAAACAAGAACAATTTTAAGGCCACAAATCCTGTGGGTCTGGATTCAGAGAACAGCCAGAGGGCACAGACTTCCATGCTGGTCTGGAGGATCCCTTTCTTTCTTTTTCTTTCTTTCTTTCTTTCTTTCTTTCTTTCTTTCTTTCTTTCTTTCTTTCTTTCTTTCTCTTTCTTTCTTTCTTTTTCTTTCTTTTTTTCTTTTCTTTTCTTTTTTTTTAAATTTCTGTTTTATTTTATCCCATTCCCCCCATCTCCTCCCTATGCACAAAAGCTTTGCTTCCACTTTTTCCTTTTATTTTCACTTTTTTCTTGTCCCGTCCTTCCTTTCTCCCTCCCTGCTCTGTTCCCCTTCTCCTTTGAACATTTTCTCCCCATTTCCCAATATCTATTATACATTTTAGTCCTTATTTACACTTTCAGTTTCTCACACCAGAGAAACAATGTGGTATTTCAACATGTGTGTCTGATTTATTTCACTTAAGAGTATCATCTCCAGGTCCATCCATTTAGCTATAAATGTCTGAAGCTCATCCTTCTTTATGGCACAGTAGTACTCCATTGTATAAAAAAAAATCACATCTTCCTTATCCTCACCAGTTGATGGGCATTTGGGTTGTTTCCAAAATTTGGCTATTACAAACTGTGCTGCTATAAACATGGATGTGCATATATCATTGTGGTATGATGCTTTTAATTCTTTCTGGAAGATACCAAGAAGGGGAATAGCTGGGTCAAATGGAACCTCTAGATTTAGTTCTTTGAGGTATCTCCATACTGATTTCCACAGTGGTTGCACCAGTCTACACTCCCACCACCAGTGGAACAGGGTTCCTTTTTCTCCATGGCCTGGAGGATCCATTTCTAAGACACCTTCTAAAGTACCTGGGCTGGGCCTGTCAGCTGGTGACAGTCAGGATCCTCCAGCATGTGATCTCCAGTTCATTGGCAGCTCCAGGGCAGAGTATCTATCTTTCAGCAAACCAGATGGAAGCTCCAGGTCTCCTATGACCCGGCATTGGAGTGACATAGTGTTACTCTCACTTCTTGTCCTGGTTGAGGCAAGATTCAAAGTAAAGGGACATGATCCCATTTGTTATTATTATTATTATTATTATTATTATTATTGTCATTAGTAGTAATAGTGGTAGTAGTAATAGTAGTAGGCGTGGTAGTAGTAGTAATGGAGATTGAACCCAGGACCTAATACAAGCTAGGAAATTGCTTTACCACTAAGGTACATCCATAGACCCCTTTCAGTGTTTTGATACTAGCAGATTTTGGTCATAAATAAATGACTGACAAATGAATAGCTTTATTCCTAGACAGTAAGGCCTCCATCTGGGTGACATGTGCATGCCTGAATCTCAGGACTCTCAGAAGCTGAGGCATGAGGATGGCCAGTTCAAGCCTACCAGGTTAATTTAATGATTTAGCAAGACCCTGACTCAAAATATAAAATAAAAAAGGACTGGAAATATCAGTCTGTGCAACCACTACAGGTTTAATCTTCAGTACTGCAAAAAACAAAAAGAAAAGAAGATAGAAGAAAGAAGAAAGAAGGAGAAGGAGAAGGAGGAGGGGAAAGAAGGAGAAGGAGAAGAAGATGGTAAAACCTCAAAACCCAAAGGTGGGATGGTCCTGACTGCTGTAGAATATTCCCCGTTTATATCTGTTGTTACAACCCAGTTATTAATGGTGCCGCATTTTATTCCCAGACAATGCCTGGCTGGGATAGCCCACGATGCGCCTATTTAGTGTTGACAGAGGAAATCCTGCCTCATGAGTTGGGTGCTCTCTCCTGTTGGAGGGCGCTCAGGAGCAGCCCTAGGGCCTGAGCCTCCTCTGCCCATGCGGCGAGAAGGAAACAGCCCACTGGACACTGCCGTGAGCTGCAGTGATGCTGAATCATGCAGCATTTCCCAAAAGTGAGTTAAGAAACAACTTCCCAGTGACTCGGGTGTGGGGCTGTCCCTGGTCCATGGTGACTGGAAGGAATTACCTGGTTGGCTTGGTCTGACATTTCAAAAGTAGCTTCAGTCCACTGTGCCAGCTGTGCACTGCTGTTTGTTAAGGGTCTCCAGAGCACTGTCCTGTGGGGGCTTTTCTAAAAGGTGGTGGCTGGGAGAGGTCTGGGCTGTGCTCTGGGTGAGTTTGAAATAGAACAAAATTGTACCCGGGCTACAATTGTAGATGAGCTCACCTCTGATGTTTGTACTTAACTAGAAAAACAGGTTTAAAGATACAGGAAATAAGTCTGTCAGGATCATGCAGGAAAAGAGTGAAGGAATGCATTACCACCTCAGACATCCCGCCAGACCCCAGTGTTGGGAAAGAGCAGGGACTTACTTGCCTTTCGAACTCTCTTCCTTCATGCTCAAGGCCAAGTTTAAATTGTGTTTTGTTCCAGAGTTTTCCTGGATGCCACAGATTATCTCACTCTTCTTGACTGCTGTTTCTCTTCAGTATCTGATTTTTTAAAAATCCCTCATCTGCTAATTTGCCTGTAAGGACAATGACCCTGAAAGCAGCACTGATGTTTGCCAGGCGCCTTCCTGAATGTTCACAAGAAGCAACCTGTCTAATCCTTAGCACGGACTAAGTGATAGCACCTACACTGACACAGATAACAGTGTATTGTATTTGTGCTGTTGACATTATCTACCTTCCCGCCTGGCCTGTCAGCTTCTCAAGAATTGGAAGCTTATCTCTTATCTCTTTGGTATCTCAGCTTCCTCCAATGCAGTAGGAATTCAAAGGAGTAAACTGTTGAAGAGAGCCCCTAATTTTGCTCCTGATCTCATAAAGACAGGCTCTTAAAACTGAATATGTGTAAGTACTACGAAGGCCACCAAGTCCCGGAAATGTCATCAGGTCCAGAACGGAAGATCCTATGACGAGGAAAACGGTAAGTATGTGGGATCTGCTGTTTTGAGAGCTCATCAGTGCTTCTTGTGAAACACCGGAAGCATGCTCAGCATTTGTGTAAAAGAGGAAGAAAATGTTTAAAATGTCAGACACGTTGTGACTATTTAAATATTCCCTGGTGACTTCCTGCACTACATCTCTGAAAATTTTCTGATTTTCATATATATTCCAGTGGTAAGTGGTATTTCCTGTGTCAACCTAGAAAACGGGACTTGACTGCTCACACACAGCATCAGTAGCAGCATGAGGTACAGGAGGGGAAAGGTTCATTAGTGCATGGAAGCAAATTTGAATTTTGATTTTAAAATAAGCCACACACACTGAAGGAAAATATGTGTATGAAAGTGTATGAGTATCTTATCATGAATTTACCAGCCTCAAGAATATTTTCTTTTAAAGTTTTTAAACTCTTGCCTTTCAGAGTTAGCCAAAGGTCTTTTTTTGTCTTGAACATTGAAGTTGTTAGATGTTATGTCTGAAGAGACCACTCCAAGCAGAATCATGAAAATTCTAGGTGGGAAATTTGGCTATTTTCCCCTCTTTTGCAATACAAGCTGTTTCCTCACAGAATACTCAGATATTTTTTCCATTGCTGATTAAAATTACATGAATGATGAAGCCATTGCTGGTTCCCTTGGGAGATTATTCCACAGAATAACATAGGTCTTGGTATAGGTATGTGTAATATATTTTCACTAATCTTCAATTCAGAGTTTCTTTTTCTTAGTTTCTTTCCATTACTCCTTGACCACCTGCACAATTTTTCATCAAAGATTGCTATATTTGGTAGGAAAGGAAACCTGCCAAAGTCCATTAAAGAAAAAAAATACATAATTTCATGTTGATCACAGCTTCTAAAGAGAATTCCTAAGAAGAACTTCTGAGGTTCTAACTGCCTACCAATAATTAACCCTTGCTATTTTAAATGTAGTTGATTCATTTTTTTCCAAAGGATTGAGAGAGTTCTGGTTTCCTTAAAGAGTAGTTGTGTGTGTGTGTGTGTGTGTGTGTGTGTGTGTGTTTGTGTGTGTGTGTGCACATGGTAGAGTTGTATGAGTATGTTGACGATACCCCCTAATCTTTGACCCCATGGTCCCTTGAACTTTTTCATGCTAGGCTGATTACTTCTTCCTAGGTTTCCCATTACCAAAACAACAAGAAGCGGGATACCCACTTTTCAGCACAGAATACTCAAATGAACAATCTGGGGACCTGGGTCCCTGTGTGGTTGATGTGTATATGCCAACTTGATCGCATGCTTATTGGGAAGGCACGAGGAGACTTTGTGATTGTGGATATTTCATAAACATATTTGAAGAACTAGATGAGAAGAGATTCACAAATATTTTTTAAAGCAGGTGTGAAAAAAGGCTAGGCTCTTTATTTTGAACACAGACCAGGCCCCTCATTTTCCAAAAAAGGGATCAAATAAAGGATCTGATCAATTTTGTCTCAGGTTGTTTGCATTTGTCCTCCAGTAAGAGTATTGTACCCTGTGTTCCCAGTCTCCTCTCTCTCTGTAACCAGGGCCTTTCTAATGTGCCTACTCCAGGACCACAGACCTCAGGCTTGCCTATGCTCTTCTGGTCTCTGCACAGCCGGAACTGAACCCAGTGTTGGGCAGATAGCAGAAGCTTTGCTGGATCCCTGAACAGTGATTCATGCACTGTTTGGAAAGACCCTGTAAGAGTAGTCATGTACTTAGTATTTACAACATTCAGTATTGGTCAGTTTTGACTCTGCCACACGACAAATACACTGCATAATTTGACATGAAAGGAACAGCAGCCATAAAAGAAAAATAGGAAATAAATTTTTATTAAATTTAATACAAAGATGCAAATAAATAAATAAATTAATAAAACAAAACAATACAAATGTTACAGAACAAAAGTATTTTGATTATATGTATACAAAACCAATGTATAATGATTTCCTGGGAAAAAAGGGAAAAATTTTATACTCCTGTGTATTCTGTCTTGTTACCCTAAACTTTTAGATACAAGTAACCCCGAGTAGTCACATGGAGGCAGAATTGAAGGAATTCAAGTTTTTGTCTTCATGGTGTCTGTTTTGAAGTCATAGGCTGTTTTTAAATTTTGTTTTTGGTTTTGTTGTTTTTTTGTTTTGTTTTGTTGTACCTGGGATTGAGTGCAAAGTGTTCACACTGAGCTATATCCCTACCTCTTCTTGGAACAGGGTTTCACGAAGGGGCTTAAGTGCCTAATCTGGACTCAACACTTGTGATTCTCCTGCTTCAGCCTCCCATAGTGCTAGGATTGCAGGTGTACGCCACTAAGCCTGGCTTCTTCCTGCTTATTGGATTTCTTTCTTTCTTTCTCTTTCTTCTTTCTCTTTCCCTCCCTCCTTCTTCCCTCCCTCCTTCTTCCTTCCTTCCTTCCTTCCTTCCTTCCTCCCTTCCTTCTTATTGGTGGTAGTACTAGGGATTGAACCCTGGACCTCAGTATTGAGCTAAATCCTACCCTTTTGGGGAGATGGGGGAGCAGGGTCTTGGTCAGTCCTTAAATTGCTGAGGCTAGGCTCCAACTTTCCATCCTCCTGCTTCAGCCTCCAGTGGGCTGGGATTATAGGAATGCACCACCGCGCCTGGCTCAAAGCTTCAGTTTTAAATGTGTGAGGTTGTAGTACCTCGGACGGTGGACACAAGTAACTGCCCCACAGTGACCCCCAAAGATCGCAAACCATTTTGATGCACTCTCAAAACTCTGGTATAAAAATGGGAAATTTTTGGTTGTTTAAAACTTGAACCAACCCAAGATACTTTGGGCAAGGAGGAGTGACTTATGATTAGTCTTGTTTAGAACTGGCAGAGCACATGGGAAATAAAAAGCAGAATAACTTTGAGTTGATTTTTTACTTTATTATTGCTTCAAAATTTTTATTATTCAAAAACTTAGAAATCCTCTACACACAACGAGTTACTTGTACTGGCGGCAGACCTCTCCCGTGGCTCGGTTCTTGTTATGTCACAGTGCAAGAGATTAATTTTGCTCTGAATCCAGTTTTAGAATAAAAATATGAAAAAAATCTTAAATTACGCAGTTTTGTCAAATATCTATGTCTATGTATATATAACAACTTTTTAATGCCTACCTAGAAAAAAAAGTGGAGGCGGGTTGGGACCCGACCCCAGGAAGGCCCTGGTCAGAGGAAAAGTGTGGAGGTGGGGTGGGACCGGCAGGAAGCAGGAGCGTCAGCAGTTTCAGAGCGGAAGTGAGCAGTGAGCCAAGGCTGGCGCCGAGCTCGGTGGGCGCTGGTCCCGGCTAGGGTGGGGGGAGCAGACAAGTCCGTTTTTCTAGGCTTTACTTCTCATCTCATCTTCACAGTTTCTACCTTTGACCAGGATAAGCGTTCACGCCTTCCCCACACTTCGGCCCAGCTCCCACTTTTCCTGCAGGGGCCTGTCTGCCTGGTCAGGCAGTTTCTCAGCAAGGCTGTGCAGGTCAGAGGGGCAGCGCGCCGGCCTCGGTTCCCCAAACCGCCGGGCCTAGCGGGGCCGGGCACCCACCTCCTCCTGACTTCGTTTCTGGGCCTTTCATCTTGCTGACTCGGACCTGGCAGGGAAACCCAGGCCGTCCTCTGCAAGCACTTTTCTCCACTTCCTCTCGGAGCAGAAGGCCCAGTCACTGAGGCAATGGCCTTGGGTCATTCTGTGCGTGGAGAAAAGTCTCACAAGTGCATGCGGATACCCGGACCTGTGTGAACCCTGGGTTCCCGCTCCCTGCCTGCCAACCAAACAGCCTCAGCGCCCTCACTGAGACGGCTCTGGCAAAGAACAAAAGCAAACCGAGAACAAGTGCTGGGGAGGAGGTGGAGGAATTAAAGCCCCTGGGCCTTGTCAGTGGGGATGTAAAATGTTGTAGCCTCCTTGGAAAATCGTATGGCTGTTCTTCAAAAATTTAAAAATAGCAGAGCATTGGGCCAGGGATTTAGCTAAGTGGTTTCAGCACTTGCCTTGCAAGTACAAGGTCTCGAGTTCGATCCCCAGTATCAAAAAAATAGCAGAGCATGGTGGGACACAGTTGTAATCCCAGCACCCAGGAGGCTGGGGCAGGAGAATCCCTGTGAGTCTGAGGTAAGCCTGAGTATATTTCGAGATCCTGGATCAAAAAACAGAATGAAACAAAAAGCAAATTAACACAGTCTAGCAAGTCTGTCTTTGAAAATATACCCCAAAAGAACTGAATGGCATCCGAAAGAGATTTTCACAGCCATGTTCATAGCAGCATCATTCACAGTATCCAAGAGGTAGAAGAGGTCCAAGAGTCCATTGCTAGATGGGAGGCTGAGGCAGGAGAATCAAGAGTTTGAGTCCAGCCCGGGCAACTTAGCAAGACCCTTTCTCAAGAAAAAAGGAACAATCAAGCAAATGTGCTTCTGGGGTTGGGGAGGTGGCCCTGCGGTAGAGTGCATGAGGCTCTGGCTCAATCCCTGCCATCCCCTCTCCCCAAAGCAGAACACCAGCTTCAACTGGTACCTGCTATTTAATATACAGTAAAGGACAATTTTATTGACTTGCTTGTTTATTTATTGTGGTACTAGTGATCAAACCCAGGGGCACTGTACTACTGATCACCAGCCCCAGCATGTTTTATGTTTTGTTTTGAGATAGGGTATTACTGGGTGGCTCAGGCTGACAGCTCATCCCATCCTTCTGTCTTGGCCTCCTAGGTAGCTGGGATCACAGGCTTGAGCGCTGTGTCCAGCCTGAGGACCATTTTAGGGGAGTGGAAGTCCGATGGCATGGACTGCATGGCCTCCCTCAAACCAGATGAGTTTGCTTTTTGTACTGGGGATCGAACTCGGGACATTGCGCTTGTGAGGCAGGCGCCTGAACCACTGAGCTAAATCCCCAGACCCCAGATGAGTTTTGTATTGTTTTATTTAACTTTATTTTTTATTAGTACAGTTTTGTCATACATATCGATCACATTCGTCATAGGGGATTAGTACCTCTGCATAATGAATCTTGATTTTTCTCTTTTTTTTCTCATTCTCCTCCTCCCTCTCCAACACTTCTTCCTCTTCCTATTTACAAAAACTTTGTTTCAATTTTTCCTTCCATTTTCCTTTTTCCTTCCTTCCCTTCCCCTTCCACCCTCCCATCTTCCCCTTCCCATTTGAGCACATTCTGTCTACTTCCCAACATCTATCCTTCAGTAAACTCCTTATTTACCCTTTGAGTTCCTCACACAAGAGAAACAATGTGATATTTAAACTTGTGTGTTTGATTTACTTCACTTAAGATTATGGTCTCGAGAGGTGAATCCATTTTCCTACAAATGACTCAGGTTTATCCTTCTTTAAGGCACAATAATATTCCACCCTGTATACAAAGCACATTTTCTTTATCCATTCTTCTTTTGATGAGCATCTGTACTGTTTCCAAAATTCAGATATTATACATTATGCTGTTATTAAGGTGTGTATTCATATATCACTGTGTTATGATGCTCTTAACTGTTTTGGGTAGATACTTAGAAGGAGAATGGCCAACTGTGTTGAATGGAACCTCTAGTTTTAGTTTATTGAGGTATCTCCACACTGATTTCCACAGTGGTTGCAGCAGTCTACACTCCCACCAACAGTGGAGAAGGGTTCCTTTCTCCCCACACTCCCGCCAGGATTTGTTATTGGTTGATTTCTTGTTAGCAGCCAGTTTTTCTGGGGTGAGGTGGAATCTCAGTGTTGTTTTCATCTGCATCTCTCGAATGACCAGTGGCGTTGAGCATTTTCTCATGTTTATTCGCTGTCTGTACTTTGTTTCAGTTGTTTAAGATGGGGTCTCGGCATGGTCTGGAGCTTGCTATCCCCTGCCTTGCCTGGAGAGTGCTGGGACTACAGGAATGTACCACATACTGATTCTTTGAGGTGATGCTGGTGACAGGATGGGGACAGGGCTCAACAGGACACGTGCTGAACAGTCCAATCCGCCTTATTCTTTGCAGGTGTGAGGGAGCAATAGAAGAGAGTATCAGGGAGGGCAGAGGCCCCACTAGCAGAGAGGCCTCTCTGCATCTCACGGCCAGCAGCTGGCTGGCACTTGAACCATGCTAATGTGTGCTGCAGACTTGACCTACCACTTCATCTTAGCTAAGGCTTCTCATTCAAATGATTTGGGCGAAATGAAGTCACTGACTAAGGAAAACATTTGATAGGAGTTAAAAGCAAAGTTTTTAAGGACAAGAGATGTGCTATTCATCTCTTGACATTTGGGTTACCAGGGCAGACGCAGCGCGGGTTATTAGTAGAGGAAAGCTATCATTACTCTTGGGGCTGGCAGCGAGGAGTAACCATGGCGATGCTTTGATTTAAACCTTCTGCTAGGGCTCTCAGATGTAATCATTTCACAGTATGCGAAGAAGGCAGTAAGAATGCTGTGATTATCTCCACTTTATAGAA